ATAGAATAGAATAGAATAGAATAGAATAGAATAGAATAGAATAGAATTCTTTATTGGCCAAGTGTGATTGGACACACAAGGAATTTGCCTTGGTGCAAATGCTCTCAGTGTACATAAAAGAAAAGATACATTCATTAAGAGTCAAGAATCATAAGGTACAACACTTAATAATAATCAAAGGGCAATAAGCACAATAAGCAATCAAACCATACTAACAGTTGTAGGAATATTTGTAACACTGTATTTCATACCTAAGCATACATGTCAAATTCACAAAAGGAAAACAGATAGTAAGACAAAAAAATCATATGAACTCCAGAGGGTCAGTTTAATGAGTAGAAGAGAAGAATACAACACATGCAGGAAGAAATGTTTATTTTTTTTAATTGTTTATTTTTAAGAGAAGAAAAATGTGAACTGCCAGTAACTAAACTTGGAGGATATACATTTTGTTCAGTTGTTAACAAAATCATAGTTTGTATATTAGGGACGTGGTGGCTCAGTGGCTAAGACGCTGAGCTTGTGGTCAGAAAGGTCGGCAGTTTGGTGGTTCGAATCCCGAGCACCACATAATGGAGTGAACTCCCGTTACTTGTCCCAGCTTTTGCCAACCTAGCAGTTCAAAAGCATGTAAAAATGCAAGTAGAAAAATAGGGACCACTTTGGTGGGAAGGTAACAGCGTTCTATGCGCCTTCTGCGTTTAGTCATGCCGGCCACATGACCCTGGAGACGTCTGCTTTGTAATGGAGATAAGCACTGCTCCCTAGAGCTGGAAGCGACCATCACATATGTGCAAGGGGAAGCTTTGCCTTTACCTTAATTACACATTCTTCATTATTTTTATTTAAACTTATTTTACACTGCATGTAACTCTTCAGAATAGAAATATATAAAGGTCACACAATATTTTTGTTGTTTTTACAGTCGTGAAACTCACAAGATTGCAGTAGTTTACATTGCTGAAGGACAGGAAGATAAATGCTCAATATTGTCCAATCCACAAGGAAGCCAAGCATATGAAGATTTTATTGCTGGATTGGGTTGGGAGGTAAATATTGCCCAAATATCTTGTTTCAGGTAACAATATTAATTGTGGTAATGGAATATTTGAGCTGGTGATATTAATTTCTCCACATTTTAGATTAACTGGTCTAGTCCAATCCATTTGATCCAGCATTTCTTTTGTTACTGAGCCTGTGTGTAGCTCCACACGTTCTCAACGCACATGTACTATCACTTAGGAAAGCAAGCCAGGAAAGCTAATCCTATAATTTTTCTTTACTCAGAACATCTATAAACCCCAACATAATGTCAATTGTGTTACCAAATAATATAGTACCAATGGCTACTGCAAGAATTTTAGTTCTGAGCACTTAGTTATCCTCATTCAGAAAATCTACCATAAAATGTTTATAAGGAGAATTTTTTATGTACCCTTCTGGATATTCTACAACCCATTAGTTAATGCACTGGTAGTCACTGATTCCAGACCTCATTATTTAGTTATCACTGAAACCATTTACTTTTCTAATACATCTGAATGGTGTATCATCTATTATAATATAACATATATGATATCTGTAGTATATTTCATATCTAATCTGAAGTGTTCTGTATAGGAATAATTATAAAACAAACTGATTTAGGTGCCTAGTGCTTTATATTTTAGTATAACTTTAAGGTTTGTGATTGCTGTTATTTTATTGTAAGATCTTGTTTTATATCAATTTATGAAGACTGAGATATATGCCATCAGAGTGGACTTCAATTAGAGTGACTTAGAAGTCAGCTAAAATAACCAAAACAAAACATTAATTTTAAGTTTGTTTAGTAAAAATGTTCCAGTCAATTCAAAGGATATTTCCTTTATCTTTGTTTAGAATTAAAGATTAAGGCTAACGTCTTTATATTTTGCTTGATTAAGGTTGATCTTTCAACTCACTGTGGATTTATGGGTGGCCTTCAACGTAATGGTAGCACAGGACAAACAGCCCCATATTATGCTACTTCAAGTGTAGAAGTAATTTTTCATGTATCTACACGAATGCCATCTGACTCAGATGACTCATTGACCAAAAAGGTAAAATATAAACCTAAATATCAAATAATATAATGCATAGTATCTTTTCAGAAGTGTCTGTTGCCTCCTATTAGCAGCATGATTGTTTATTGTGTTTGGGGGTTTTGTGAAGTAATTTTATTAAAGATTACAATTACAGTCATTCACTTGCTTTGTTATTTGCATATCCCTTTTAATTATTAAGACATCACCTGGTTTGTTTTGCATGTCCACTGTAACGTCTTTTTCCGTGTCATTCTTATCATTTTTAAATCCACTTCAAAATCAGTCTTGATCTTGTGTGGTAGAATTCGTTCTTCTTCCATAACATCTTTTAATAGTCTTATCTATAGAGACAGACATGTTTAATATTTTTATTCTAGATTATGTTTTATATAAATTGTATATTTAAATCTCTTGTTAGAAAAAATATTCATTTTAAGATTGCTTCTCTGTTTAATAATACATTTTGCCTCTTAAGCTATTTAGGTGATACTTGTATTCCTGCTATTATCATTCCCCCTTCCTTTTAATTCGCCAATTTCCAAGCATTGGAAGGAGAAAGCTAAATAACTTGCTTAGCTGACAAACTCAATAGCATGACAGAAGGTCATACCACCTGCTGCTCAGAAAAACTGCCTGTAAATATGACCATTCTGCAGCAGGCAGTATATTTTTTGACCCACAGAATAAGACAGATGTCATAGAAATATTTAATGATAAAGTCTTTTGTGTATGTAAAATAGTTGCACCTGCATATGACATCTAAAATAAGTACCATAAATTTGACAGCTATTGAGGAATATTGCTAGTTGGTTTAGAATAAAATATTTAAAGATATGTTTTATTAATACCAGCCACCAGGACAACTCAGTTTTCTATTTTCTTCATAGTCTAGTAAAAAAACAGTAAAGTAATTAAATGCTGACAAATTTGTGAAATAACCATTTTATGGTATTTTGGGGTCTCAAGGATTTGTCATTATGTACAATCTTTCATTTTTGTTTTCAATCCAGTCATCTTGTAACCATAGTAGAAATGCATGCACCATAGTTAACTAACAGCTCCTTATCAAAATTATATGTAGCTTTTTTATTTAAAAAATCAATTAGTGACAGAAAGCCACTTAGTTGAGAAACACGGCTACCACACACACACACACACAGAGAGAGACACCAATGAACTTTTGCTCTTTACTCAAGAAATTCATTAGTAATAGCTAGATTAGATTTTTAGCAGCTAATCTAACTGCTGTAGGGGTTTGCAAAGTAGAGACAGAGCTGTGCTATTGGATTTGTTCAATTCATTTGACTCCAGGACTATAATTGCACTTATGTCTTACAAGGCTTTTTATAGCCTAAGGCTGGCTGGCAGCAGAAAACAAATTGGCAGTGAATACAGTAAGAGTGAAAGGGAATGAAAGGCACACATTATCAGTCTCCAGGCAGCACTGTTCTGGCAGGAAGTTTCTTGGTTAATTTACAAATAAAACTTCGATTTTAGGATGGGCACTCTGTCAGGCAGACAATGGGGATGTCAGGACAGGCTATTACTCAGTAAAAGTAGCATCCATGCCTAACCCTAGCAGAAGTTCTTCAATCATGCAGACAACTCCTTTCTGAAGCCAGCTGGCTCCATAATACAATTAGTAGGGAAAAGAGGTCAGACTATTAGGTGTCTATATCATGACCACAGTCAGCATTAGTGTGTAAGCCTGGAAGACAAGGAGAATATCTAAAGATCCTTTCTCATTATTTATTAAGTAGTAGTTGCAAAGACACATAGACTTATATGTCCAAACATGCAATTCTTGTTAAAAGGCTTGAAAAAATAGCCAATGTTCAAAAATACAGGGTATCTTATGCAAAAACAATGAAGAAATGTAATAATTATGGATAGGATTGATGCCAACATTTAAGTTAGACTCTTTACTAACTTTTGTCATTTGAAGATGTCCTTCTATTTGGGATCATTTAAAATACGGATCCCGTTTCTAATTTTAATGTCTGCATTTTAGAACTCAATACTTATCAAAAACTGAGACTTGCTTTTTAAACCCTTGCTATTTTAATGCACACACAGAAAACGTTTATAATCTCTAACTTATTATAAACAGTATTTTAAGTTCATTTATTTCCAGTATCTGCATTTGTTGTTTTCTTAAATATTAACAGCTTGGGCCATTTCTAATACAGGTAATCCTTGACTTATAACAGGCAGTTTAACAACCATTTGAAGTTACAATGGCCTTGGAAAGGGTGCTTGACAGCCCATAATACACTTTCAGTCATCATAGAGTGATCATATGATCATGATCTGGGTGCTTGACAATCTTTTGTCACAACCAGTCTCCAAGTGCCAAGTGCTCCACGTGATCACTTTTTTAGTTACTAAAAATTGAATGAAAATTACTGAATTGCAATGAATACAAAGCATATCTACTGTGAATTATCTCTTATTAGCTTCTCCCGTTTTTTTGATGTTCCAGTCATTCATATATTATTACTTATTTATCACAAAATAGTAAACCATGTGAGGTTCCATAATATTTGAAAGAAGGAAGTTATTTAACATGCAGAAAATATTTTTATATAATTTTCTCTGATGAAGCAAATATACTGTTGGCATTGTAATTTCATTCCTATAGCCCTAGCTCCTGAAATTCTTCTGTCATTTTGATTAATAGCAAATCCATTTGCTGTTACAGCTTCGTCACTTGGGAAATGATGAAGTTCATGTTATCTGGTCTGAACACACCAGAAATTATCGCAGGGGCATTATACCAACAGATTTTGGTGATGCTTTAATTATTATTTATCCAATGAGGAATCGTATGTTCTACATTGAGATTATGAAGAAATCACAGGTAGGTCCTGAAGTTGAATACAACACAGTCAGGTTCTTATAATAGTAGAATCATTCTTAATGCTAAAGAAAACTGATTCTTAAAAATGTTTTTTTTTCCTTAATGAAACGGAAAATTTAATGTTAAATAGTTTGACTTATATTTATGAGTGGAGATGAATTGATTTAATTACTTAAAGATGTATAACTTGTGCCTCTTTAGTAACTTAGCAGAAAAAAGTATGTGAGTTATACACACATTCATTCATTTATTATGAGGACATTCAGGAACTGTACAAAAATGAGAGAAAGTAAAATAAAATTACTTCCTTTAATGTGTATACATGGCTTCAAAATGTACAAAAACTAAAGTTCAACATTCAAATTTTAAATTAAATTCCCCCCACAAGATGAATCTAAAGCAAATACAAAAGTAAAATCAGATAAAAACTGAAAATGGAAAAGTTGAAATGAGTTTGAGATGACGTTGAATTCTTTCTGTAGTTGAAACTAACATTAGTATAATCTCATGGCATTTTATACATTTATACAGTATTGAAGCATGGTATTTTTTCCATTGCCTTTATACTGTGTTTCTTGAAAGCTTTCTTACTATTGTTGTAAGTTATAACTAAATCAAAAGTTGCCTTCTAGTTGTGTTGTTTTTCAGCTCCTGTAATTTCAGCCCCTTTATAAATACCCAGAAAAGAAAAGTTCCTTCAGAATAAGATATTTGGGGTTGTTTTATCCAGGAATCCTCCTGCATATAGCAAGAATATCATACTTGCTTTAGACAGTGCAAAATATACTCTATAAGCCATCTTTCTGAGATGAAAACGTCAGGACTTTGTAGCAAATTTCTATATTCTAATTGGAATTGGGGTAGTTGAATCTATAATGAACTTTTGTGAATTGCTCTTGATCTTTTTCCATACTTCTTTGAAAAAGAAATCCTGGTCTTCTAATTTCTGTATACCTGGGACTATGTACAGGAGATAAAACCCTGGATGTGGAATTTTGTCTTGAAAAGGGCATTCCTTTTGTTCATTCTGATAACTTTCAAGCCACAAGTATTTTCATTTATTTCTGCAGGCTGTTTTGTTGATGTGTTATGTATTGATAGTTTTTGTCTTTGATACATTTATCTGTTTATGCAGCTTCTCTACTTTTAATTTAGTATGTGTTCTTCCTATTTATCATACTTTAGACATTTTGTTGAAAACTGTCCTGATAATATGCTTGAAAAGGTGTAAAATCATCATTAAAAACCAAAATTAAGTAAACTACAGAACCAATAATTGTAAAGCAAAGTCAAGAAAATCAGATAGCACCCTGGATAGCTCCCTGCAAAGCTTAAGCTGGTCTGATAAATAAAATCTAGAGCAACAACTGCAGCTTGCGTGATTAAATCTGCTATGATGTGCTACCCAGGAGAAATATACAGGCTGTTTCAGTAATTGCAAATGCCAGCATAGAGAAGGTGATGGCTGTGTTGGAGCTTCCAGGGTTGAGAAAGGTTGGTTACCTTCTTAGGCCATAGTTGTGTAAAGTTATGTAGTTTTTAATCTTCTATTAGAGCTTCTGGAATAGATTCTGAGGGCACATCTGCCTCCTATATCATTATTTCTCCAGTGCATAGACATGTTCATCAGAGTTAAAGCAGCAGGGTTTTTTTCATCACAAATGTTCAGAAATATTTACAAAATGAATTTAAATTTTATATCTATTTATGTGGTTGACATTGACTTGATGGCATCTAATCAATACATGCTGAAGATATACTAGAAAGTGGAGAATTAAAATACAAACCATATAATGGAGATGTGTGAAGTGATTTAACTCAATGAAACCCCAGCTATTGGGACAAAAAAGCCAGCTAAAATTCTAAGTGGCTTCAGAGCTAAGTATCCACTGGTAATATTCTCACCTCTGTGATGATGAGGTGAAAGGATACTCTCATTATTGTAGAAGACCAGGTATAGTTGATGAAATGGAGATTAGAGATTGGATTCTCTAACTAGCCCCCCCCCCCCCCCTGTAGTTAAGGGTAGCAGAAACATGAGCTTAAGATGAAAGTTTCTAGCATCATATCTTCCACAGAAAATGCAGGGCAATCAAAGCCATGGTCATAAAACAAACAGAACTATAGACATAGCAGGAGCTGGTTTAACAGGGGACATGAAGTATCTTTGATTTATTATTTTAAAAAAACCTAGACAATCCATGCCTTGTTGGATCATTGTTTCAGAGATATTTCCTTAATTAAACAGAGAAACAGATTGACCATGGGCAGACAGAAAAACAGTAAAAGCAAGAGCAAATTCTGACTTCTACATTGAGTTTCCTTTTGGGAATCTGGCATCCACATGCCTGTCTTCCTCCCCTGGCATTTAGGTCCTTATAGGCTGCCTTCTCTGTAAGGAAACAGCCCATTTAATCCGTTTAAAATACATGTATCTCTTCAAAATCTCTTACAACCCCCCCAATCCATGAAGTAAGTAAAGGGGAGGAAGGAGACATCAATATTTTCAGTTGTGACCCTTTACTGTGAGATGGCCTCCCCCCTGAAGTTAGAATGGTGCCCTCATTACTGGCTTTCTGGAAGTTTTTAAAGACTGAACTGTTCCAACAGTATTTGAAGAATAAGAACTATGCCATTTATTGCTTATTTATGCATTTTATATTATCATTTATCTTCCTTCTATTGTCTTCCAATACTGCTGTGAGTTATAACACCGTGTTATTTAAAGTCCAGCAGTTTAAATACAATACAAATATATACTATACATATACATAAATAAATGTATTTAGTGTATTTAAGCTTCAAAGATCTGATGAAATAAAAATATTCACCAACCTTTTAATAATAAAAAGCTACTGCTTTTAGGCAAGGAAATTCCCTATCATTTCAAATTGATAGTTAAAACTTTGACTGTTGAAAAATGAAGGCTTTCCTGATTTATGTCCCTGTTTCTTAATCATTTTCTTACAAAGGCAGATGTATTTAATACAAAGATCTGAGTTAAATAGAATTAAATGTTTAATTATTTATGAAAATTCATATTGTTAAATCTGTTCTGCAAAAGCATTAGTCATATTTCTGTTTTATTTCAGATGAGTCAAGTTCTATAATTCCTTTGTAAGCTTGCTAAAACTCATCACTTACAACCATTAACCTCTATTGAAGAAACACATCTAGTTCTTTTAAAATTAAGAGAATCTTCAATATTACATAAAATCCATATATCAATCATGACAGGTTCTTTTGGAAATCATGAAAAAACTGAGAGCATGGTATTTAAACTCAATGTATCTCATTGGAACTCTTTGTGGCACAGTGTTGTTTTTTAATTGATTCATTAAATCATTAAAATCTATGAAAATAATCCAACTGTGGCATTAAAGTGCATTAAATTGGACCTTTCTTCAATGTATTAGCAATAAGCAAATTTACATAGCATATCATCTTTAAGGGCTATGCCCATTTAGTCATTCATTCTGAAAAGGTTTTGAAAAAAAAAGGCCTTCACACCCTATAACAAACCCCACAAATAAATTCAAGGTATTTTTTTATTTTGTTTCTTTTTTCCTTTTGGAAAGAGAGTTGTATTTTTTTTTTTTTATTTTGTATTCATTTTTATCCTAGCTTTATATAAAAAAAGAATAAAAAATGAAGAACCATTCTATAGTTTGAGGGTAACATTCAGAGAAAAACATTCAGAAAACAAACACCTTTATTTAGTTTTATTTTTGACTGAATAATAAATGGTTATATAATCTCAAAATGGCTGCTTATGTTCTATTAGAAAGATTTGATATAAGCATTCATATCAAATGACGAATAACTGTCACTGCAAACTTTGAATAGTCACGTGCTCTTATTTTACCTTCTCTTACTTTACTCTCTAGTGCCTTCAATCATATCCAGTAGCAAAAATGATCACCTGTTCAGCTGCTGTAATTTTTCACAGTTTACACAGGTTTTTCAGTGTGTGTTTATTAATGTCACCCTGTGGCACTTTGGTGTGGGGAAAATGTTCAGCTGCTTAATAAATTCATTTTAAGATGATGTCAGAATGGCACACTGAGTCAGCCTTCTGGGACAGTTCTTGCTGTTACCCTGAGACACTGAAGCACCCTCAGAAAAAAAGAAAAGGAGTTCAGATTCAGAAACAGATGACGTGTAGAGAATTAAAAGACATTTGCAGTTAGAAATTTGCATCAGAATGAAGAGTAGTAATATCTGACATATTGAAGTTTATTGGAATCAAGCATCTGTTTTGGCACTCTGTAATGAAATCGCTTTCATTGAACTGTATTTACATAACACTTTTAGATTAAGTTTATTAATATTAAAATTTATCAATTTGTCATGTGGGTTTTTAAACTGAACTTCTTGCCCTGTTTTCAAGCAGGGGGTTTCCAGAGCCTCTTTTATGTTATTAAAATTTAGATATATAAGAATATTTGCAACTGAGAGTTGAAATGAAGGGTCCTGGGTGCTTTCTGAGCTTGATTGTTTTCTTGTAGACATTTCAAAATCCACTGATTATATTATCTAGATTGGGTAATGAAACAGCTGCAAGAAAACAACCAAATTCAGAGAGCACCAAGGACCCCTCAATATTAATATTCCAACATTGGGATTTCTCACTTTAGGAAGGAAACAGTTGGAAGAGAATATTTCAATATTAGATTCTCCCCCTCTAACACCACGTCTTTTGTAATGCTTATATTAAAAGTGGTGCTGTTATTCAGTTTGTAGACAACTTTCTTAAAGCAACTATTATGTGCAATCTAAAATATCTTTGCATAGGAAGAAGCTTATTTGTTATGCATTATTAAGCATTAAAAAAATTCTGTGGAAAAAAATAAGACCAAAATGGAATTTACTGTCCATTGAAAATATAATTATAATGATACAATCAACTATTCAACACATTTCAGGAGCAAATGTGACCGACCTTTGATCAATCAGCTACTGACCATGGGATGAATGAAAGTGTCTTGTAGAGATAAATGACTGATTGGTTGCAATTCTTGGTATTTAAATTGAGTTCTCTAATCAAATGAAAAAGCTGTCACTTTTTCAGGTTTCAGGATCCATGGTAACGTTTGGCCTTTTACATTCATAATGTTAGTCTTTTTGTTTGCAACCAAGTAGAGACACCTGGAGTAATGTTAACATTTACCAATTTTGTATTAATAGCTTCGTGATATAAGAATCTCTGATGCGATAGCTGTTACTTTTGTTATTGCTACAGCTTTATTGTTTTCACTTTTATCTTCCTGCCTGGTAACCATGCAATGATTGACAAACTTTTTTGTCTGTTTAATTAACCAATATAATTATTGGGAACTATGATTCAGTCTTTTGCTCAACAAAGCCTCTGAGAGAAAACAATAGTAAGTCTTTTAGTATGAATGCATACCACCCATCACAGATGCATTAAGATATTCTAAACAATGAGGCAAAAAGCTGCCTATAAAAAGCAGACAAAGAATGCCATAGAGACTCATACAGTGTGCATACCGCCAGGGACATACTGAGAGGTCCCTGGGACACAGATGCCTCGTTATATTGAAGCTAGTCATCAGAGATTAATGCTCAGCCATTTGGTACAATAATTTTCTCATTCATACAATAATTTTCTCATTTAAACTATGTTGCTTACTATCAAATATAGGTCTCTGAACTAAAATGGATTGTTTAAATTTGACTGAATTTTAATTTGAGTTATAACACTGCTTCATTTTGCTCAATCATTGTTGAATAAGCAAAATGTAAAAATGAAGATAATATTGCTTTACAATCACAAGAATTTTGAAGATCTATAGGACAATCTCATGCTTTCCATATTTTTAGTGGATGACAGTATGTCAATTATTAAACATGGTACAGTTTATCTGATGGTTTTTCAAACTGAAATCTCATAGTTATTTTAATATCTGTGACTTCATTCCTAGAACTTGGAGGGCAGTTTTGACACCATTATCCTCTTCTTGTAGCCCTCAGGTGGTTGTCATACAGGTTTGGGGTTCTGCTTTTCATATAAGCAAGCACAGTAAACAGTTGAAGAAAACTCAAATATTTGTACATTTTATTAGCTGCTAGAAGCACTGCATTTGGAATCACTAAATATCCTAGCCCATTAAATACATTACCAGTCCCACCCCAAAAATTATTTTTACATATTATGAATAAACCCCAAAAAAACAAAGATTGATCTCATGTTGGCAGAAGACTTTTCTATCATTTTGAGGATGGAAACATTCAGCAAAAAGTCTTATAGTATATGCCTACAATAGAGTTGCTTTAATTTCAAAAGCAGCAAAGAAAAATCATCTCAAATTCCTCCCAGATGTATTATGGAACATTATAGAAAAGTTAAGGAGGGAAGGGGCTGTCTTCAGTTACAAGAAACTCTATTTTTACATTTTTCTCATTGATCTAGCATGCATGTTGATTTGTTGAAGTTGACAATAATTATTAAGGGATGTAGTTTCATCTTAATTCAGAATTCATATTTTCATATTTAATGGGCTATGTAGTTACCATAATATATAATCATATTTGTTGTTCTTGACAAGATGGTTTTATTTTAAAACCAGTACATAGAGGCAACTCTGTTGAGACTATTAAAGATTATTCTCAAATGCTGTAAATATTGGTTGATTTATGCAGCCCAGTTTAATAAAGATGTCCACCAAAAATATGGAAATTAAACTTTTACAGTAGTATGTGTGCACATAGGTATTACACTTTTGCTGCTAAAAACTCCAATATAATATGAATTCTTCCACTTTTTTAATGCTTTATTGTTGTTTGTTTATTGACAGGTCCCATTTTTTGGTCCTTTGTTTAATGGAGCAATTGTGACTGCAAAACTGTTGCCAAATCTTATACGGGCCACATGTATCAATGCCAGCAGAGCTGTGAAATCTCTCATAACTCTTTATCAGAGCTTGTATCCTTTTTTATTTGTTTCTATATCAGGATTGAAAAATCCATCTATCTTTGAGTACATGTGCTGAAAGCCATGGTATATCTCAATCTCTTTAATAATAGCATTCATTTTTAGATTCATCCAAGTTTAAATCTGATACAATTGCTGTATATACGATGAAGAGTGCATAAACATAGCTGCATTCAAGATTACAAGGTTTCCTCAAAATTGGTAAGCTGATGTTGAAGAAAAATATGTATGTGATATGTGGAAGGGAAAAAAAACTGGCAAAATTCTCAATGCAGATTTCTATATGAATCACTTTCGTTGACAAGGTAACAGTTTCACTTTTTATTGTTTGAATATTTGGCATATATACAGTCTCTGGTTAAGAGTCAAAAGGCTCTTAACATCACTGGGAGTTTTTTCAGTTTGGTATATTCCTGTTTGCATCCCCTAATAACTGATAATGACCCAGAATCTGGCATGGGCCTCTGAAAATTGAGTAGCAAGCCAAAGGCCTCAACACTAGTTTGTCCTCATACCTGTAAAACAAAATTATTTCATTTATCTTCTCTCCTTCATCAAAAGGAGAGAAAATGTGTGCAGGAAATTGGAAGCTCCTGCTCAATCTTTCACTTCAAGGATGATGATACATCCATTGGTGCAGAGAGCTGGAAAAGTTTGGATCCTCCTAGGAGGAGGATAATGGTTTTGATGTGAAGCCTAATGGGACACAACTCAGAATGACAGTGATTAAAATTCTTTCAAATGCTTGTTTTAATCCAATTGAATAGAACTTTTCCATATTTTTATTTGAATTAAATAACCCAAGTGGAAGATGAAAAACATTATATATATGCAATGCTTTGAGGTTCATTTGGTATCCAAGAAACTCAGGAAACAAATGTTTTCAATTTATCCAAGCTATGAAACCTCTCATCAGTAAAAAAAAAAAAAAAGCAATATATGAGCACCAGTTTGGTCTGATATTAGGTCATTAGGTAGCTGAGCTTGGGGGCTCATCTATTATATTATTGCAGGAAATTTCATAATTCATATTTGATTAATATACTGATCAAAACTTTTTCTGAATAATCATGTGTTGATGTCCAATTCATTATTTTAACATTGAAATATATTATCATAAATTCAAAGACTTTTTTTCCCCAATAAATGGATCACTTGGAAATAATTCTGGACACTTTTTGGTTTAGAATTTTGCTCAAACAGGAGAACAAGGATTCTTAGCCTAATTTCCTCCAATTCACTGAGTACATTTTGGATCTATAGAACCTGATACCTTGTCTTGTGAAAAGCCATCATCTTGATTATTTGATGTCGTCTTCTTCCTATCAGGAAAAATAGCATATCACTGTTCTCTTCAAATCCAGTTGTAATCATGCAGGACCTACAGTGATGTTTGTATTTGTTCATCGTAGATCATAAGTGGATGATGATTACAGCTGGATGCCAAAATCTTTTAGATAATGAACTTTCCTCTGAAATAAAATGATCCAGATGTTTGGCTATAGTTCTTAAAGGTAGCCAGTTCAGAAAACAAGACTCAATAAGAATGACTGGAACTTAATCAATATAAGCTACAGTTATGAAATTTTGAAAGCCTATCAGTATATGAAAGTCTAACTCTCTCCTTATACTCAAGAAAGTTAAGGGAAAGATTGTTTGAGTTTCTGTTATTTTCTTCGTCTCCTGGATTTATTTTTTTCTAACAGCCTTGATTAGTTTCTCCAAGGGTATCATTGATTCTCTACACTGGCATATACAGTACATGAATTCCAGAAAATATCTAAACACTTGAGCCATTGGGTTAGCTGTAGAAACTATTAAAGATTATACAGTATATTGGAGCAATCTGCCATGATCAAATCATAGAAATGAGTTGGAAGGAATCTTGAAAGTCATCTAGTTATCTTTAGTTAAGAAATTTACTAAACCATCCCTGGTCACGCAGCCCACTCGAAAACTTCCAGTGACAATGAATTCATTGCTGGTGTAGAAAGAAAAGAAAAGAAACTTCTACCATCAGAGAATTCCTCCTAACATTCAGTTTTAATCTTGTCATTCTAATTTTTAATTGTAAATTTAATTTTAAACTTTTTAATTTCAGATTCTTAGAGCTTTGAATATCTTCAATTTCAACAAGGAACCAGCCTTCTTTTAGGCATGAAAACAGTTTAGGTATTTGTAAATTGCTAATGTGCCTCAATCTTCTAATATGCAGGTTAAGCAGCTCTTTTAATCACTTCTCAGAGGGATTGATTTCTATGTTCCTTATTTATCCTGGTAGCTCTCTTCTGAACCTGCTCTAACTTTCCCATGTCACTTTTTAGTCTAGATTCAACTGTGTTGTAACTGAGTACAATTCAGCTGTTCTCTCCCATGAGCTGGATGTTGTGCTTCTGTTAATAAAGCACAAAATTGCATTGAACTTTTTAGCTGCTGCATTGCATAGTGTGTTTCCATGAATAACATTTCAAACTGTTAAAGCAGCCATAAGTTTTTCTGGATTCATGCTGAGAGCTTCAATAGTTCCACCTGACTCTTTACATATGCATAGGCATTTCAGTACTCTTGTTGTCTCAACGATATACATTCATAAATAGCCATGTCACTTTGCTGGGGGAAATGTTAAATAACAAAGGGCTAAGGACAGAGAACTGGGGAGCTCACTCAGTACTTCATCCTCCTCAAGGTAGAGCCATTTATAACATGAGTATGATTATTCAGCCAGTTGAAAATCCAGTGGAACACACTATTTTCTAGCCCGCTTTTATCCATGTTGTCCAAAAGGACACCATGAAAAATATAGTAATTTTATTGAGATTAAGGTATTTTATATGTACAACTTTATCTTAGTCTACCTGAATATTTATTCTGTCATAAAAGAGATACCATTGTTCTGGCATAGCTTCTTGACAGATTCGTGCTGGCTCCTGGTAATGGTTGCAGTCTTTTCTAAGTGCCTGCAGGTATTCTACTTGGTAATCTCTTTTAAAACTGGTCCATAATTTCCTGTGTTTTTTCTTTTCTCTTTTTTGGAATATTGAAAATATGTTCACTCTTCTGCAATTTTTTGGCACTTCATCTTATCTGTAGGTTTTTCTAAACATTACCTAGTAATCATGTCAGCACCTTCAAAACTAGGGATGTAATATGTCTGGCTGTAAAGAGATGAATTTGTTTAAAGTTCTATTAAAGTCAGTTCTGAGTTGTCTTCCTTCAGACATATAGTATTTCTGTGAAGCCTTATGTCAATCATCAGGACAAAATAAAATCCAGTTTCTTGAACAAGAAAACATGAATAGGAAAAAAGTTATCACTTGCCCATCAAAGCAGAAAACCAGCAAGGGAACTATTTATAACATGGGGACCTGGGGAAGAGAGCCATTCAGGAATTGAATATTAAATGGATCCTAAGTATTTCAAAGGCTACAAAAATATGGATCTTTTTGCCACAACCAAAACCCAACACTTACTGAAATGCATATTGAGGTTCCTGAACTTAGAGGTTTTTACTAATACTACTCTGCAAAAATGTAAGCAATCCTTTTCACCTTGGTACTGTATTTTTACTTAACAAAAAGAAACACTTTACCAAAAAAATGAGAATGAGATGGTCTCTCTGGAATGGACAAGACTGGAAAAGGCTTTGAGTAAGCAATTCAACACACGAAGAAGAGGGGAAGTAAGTTTTCAACAGGGACTTGATCAGGGGAGGCCTTTCAAGGTCCAGTGTATGCAGGAAAAAATGAAGAATGACATACTGTCAGGCCCAAGCTCAGAGCCTAGACAGTGAGATCCACTGTATTTAGGCAGTTTAACCCTTTATTTGATTGCGCCTAATGGACAGAATCTTGCCAAACAATAGTTATAACCTCCTGGATATATCCTGAGAGGTTCTAGGGCAGGGGTGGGCAAACTTTTTGGCTCGGGGGCCGCATTGACTTTTAAAATTTGACAGACGGGCCGGGTCAGCACAAGATATTTTGGGAATCGCCCCCCCTTTTCTCCTCCTTCCCCTCCCCTCGGAGGCCCCCTGAGTCAGGAGTTGCTACCGCCGGCGCGGCTCCAGTCCCGTGTTGCCTCGGGAAGGGAAAGGCAAAAAGGAAGAGCCGCGGCGGTGCTTTGCAATGGCAGCAGCGGCACCGGAGGCTCAGGCTCAGCGGCTCCTGGTTTTGCCTTTTCCTTCCCAAGGCAACGAAGGACTGGAGCCGCGCAGAGCTGCGCCGGCAGTAGCAACTCCTGACAGCCCCAGCCGGACACCTGAGCGGAGCCCGGGCTGAACTGCCTGTTGCTGCTGCCAGAGCACCGCCCGGTCGCCTCCTCCAAGCAGCCCGCCCGCCCGCCGGGCTTCCCCTCCACCACGCGGCTCGGGGCCAGGCGTGAGCGCCCGCGAGTTAAAACGAAGCCGAAAGTTGCTGGGAAGTTGCTCGGGTGCTGGGAGCAGGCTTTTAAAGTGCCACCCGAGCAGGACCGCCGAGCCGGGAAACGGGGCACCAAGGCAGGGCAAGGCTCCACCAGCAGCGGCCTAGCTTTAGGTGGCTCCAAGCAGCCCACTCCAAGCAGCCCACCAGGCGGAACCCTTCCCACTCCTCGGCGGGAAGACGCTCCAGCCTGCAAGCTTTGCCTTTGCAAAGTTTAAGCCTGGAAGCCCCGGAAAAAAAAGGGGGATCGGCGGGGACTCACCTTCGGAGAGGTCGCACTCGAAGGTGATTTCGAACTCCCAGCCGAGGCCTTTGCAAATTTCTTTTCTTTCCTATCCCTAGATCGCTCCGCACTGTTTTGCATCTTTGGGGGCCACACGGCACAGGGCAATACGCCACGCCCAGCGATTTTTTTTCAGGGGCGGGCCGGATTGGACAGACCAATGGCAGCGATTTTTTTTCAGGGGCGGGCCGGATTGGACAGACCAACGGGCCGGATGTGGTCCGCGGGCCGCAGTTTGCCCACCCCTGTTCTAGGGTGTGGTTACAAGTCCCCCTCATCTCTTTCTGGAA